AAAGGAGTTTTTATTTGATGCATTCTTAATATCATTGGGGAGGGTGTTCCAAAGATGTATAGTCTGTATCTTAAAGGGGGACCTGAAAAACGTACTAGACAATCGATCGAATGAAGAAAATGAAAGTTAGCCTTAAGGGGCTACTCCATGCGAACGATCTTGAGCATTTTGCCGGCAGCGCGCCGCTCGCCTCAATATATTGCCCTATTGTAGGTAAGAACGTATTATTATTTTTTCAACATCAATAAACTAATTTATGGAAATACACACAGCGTACAACGATAAATGTATTTTAATTTTTTTATTCGGTATATTAGTTGCATTATATTAGAATTATGTATTTTCATATATTATCTAATTATGAAATTTTATAATTAATTATATATTAAAAATGAAGCATTGAAAATTGTGAGTTTAAAAGATACCTATTTACTATATGTAAATAAATAGATAGCTCGCCTTTTGTACAAATGTTTGGTGCAATAAAGAATAAATAAATAGATAGGATGTTTCGTAGATGTGTTTTTGATTATTGTTAATTTTTACGTGTCACGTATTGAAAAGTAATATACCTACCTACAAATTTTTGAACTGAGCACCTTGTAACTTAGCCTGCTTATTACTTATGCTGGCAGACATTATCCTCGTCCCAATGATTGATGAGGATGAAAATCAATTTTATTTCTATATACGTAATTATATTTATTTATACATAAGGGTAACTTTAATAAAGGTAATACAAAAATCAACAAGAAGTATAAGGGTTCAATCTTTCAATTTCAATTGTAAAAAAACGTTACCCCCACACTAGGATTTTCTCCTGTGTCGTAGAGGCAGTTTACAAACATAAATTGCACAAGGACAAACATCCAGACCCGAAACAATTATTTGTAGGCCATACAAATACTTGTTCCGTGCGAGATTCGAACCCGCGGCCCCCAGCGCAACAACAGATTGCTAAGCCACTGCGCCACGGAGCCGTCGCCGGGTTATAGCTAAAGTGACCATACGTCTCTCGGTCACCTGTCCCATTGTCCCCAAACAAAGCTCCGGGACACAAAATTGTCCCGTAACTCGTTGGATGGAAGTATTCAAAGTCAACAATCTTCAACATAATTTTTTTTAATCGAATATATTTTATGTCTACCTGGTACAAATGCTTCGGTAGAAAGAGTATTTTTTTATTTTGAATAAATTGTGGACGTCTGAAAGAAACACTTACGGTTCCAGTTCTAAAGGCGATGTTGTTAACAAAGATAACAATAAAAAAACTTGAGCAGAATTTTATTCTTATTTAAAATCATCACCAACTTTATTAAAGCAAATTTAATCCACTGACAAATGTAATTAATAATTTAAAAAAAAAATATGTTGCATTTAATAACTACCGTCTATACCGAATATAATTTTATAGTGAACACTAATTGTATAAAGTTATAGTTTTTAGAGTATAAATAAACCCATTTCCTGTTTTGAGTTAAAAAATAAATGGTCAGTTTAGTCTTTTTAGTTAAATTTAGTTTTAAAAATTTTTAGTTTATAGTAAAAAGTAGGTATATTAGTACCTACTTAGATACTTTTTACCGAATTATAAGTATAGAACACCTTATGTACTCAATAATTTTTTGAAAAAGAAGAAAAAACAAGCAATAAATAATATACTAATATTTTAGCAAAAAAAATATAACTTAGTAATACTAATTATAAGTTAGAACATAAATGAAAAACTCATAGCTGACTTTTGGCCCGACCCAGGATTCGAACCCGGGACCTCATGATCAGCAGTCGCATTACTACAACCACTAGACCAACGAGGCAGTACTATACTTAATAAGATATTGTGGTTGGGTGATAATATTGAATTAGCCTTTTATAGTGTAAATTATAATATTTGTCGAAATTTTAATTATGGATTCGAACCTTACATGCTAATGGTGCTTCATTTTTTTTATTTGCATTTACTTCAAAGAAAATACACGCAAAAAGCTTCATCGCGCAGTAAAAAACACAACAAATATATGTATAACTAATACGAAAAATTATACCCAAAACAAACAAATAATACTACCTATAAATAACCTAATAAGTAATATTATTATCGACTGATATGACGTGAGTGTATGCGCTTGTCGACGCTCTAACGACACGGGCTTCACGTCGAAGAGCTCAGGGTCACTGACTTCAGGAAGCCCGTGAGCAGTGAATATGCCCAGATTTTAAAATAATTTCTTAATAAAATCAAATTTTGGTCTTTTGAAAAAAAAATTACTATAGAAATGTTCATTAATAAATTGCCTATCCATTGGTGTAAATCGCAAAATAAAATAATACTTACTTTACGAGGAGATGCATGTTATCAATAATAATTTCACATTAAGGCCCGCCATATACATACGGAATTCCGTTTCGAGATTCCGTTTCGGAATTTCGAACGGTCGGCCACACACAAACGGAATCCCGTTTTGCTCGCAAAATATCGAACGGAAAACTACCGTACGTGTGTGGCGGGTCATAGATTTTATATGGACTTGCTGCGTTCGGGATTCCGAATCGGAATATCGAAACGGAATCTCGAAACGGAATTCCGTATGTATGTGACCGGCCTTAGGCCGGCCAGATACATACGGATTTCCGTTTCGGAATTCCGAACGGGTCGGCCACACACATACGGAATCCCGTATTGTCCGCAAAATGTCGAACGGAAAACGACCGTACGTGTGTGGCGGGTGGGCGGGTCATAGATTTTATATGGACTTACTGCGTTCGGGATTCCGAATCGGAATCCCGAAACGGAATTCCGTATGTATGTGGCGAGCCTTATGTGGTTTCGTTGTAAGGAGATTATATTAATATTTATTCCTTTAAAAAAAAATTGGATATAGCTTTTATGGAATCAAGATTATGTAGAAATATAATGTGTTTTTTATTTGTTGATATATCTTTTAAATAAAAAGTAGATAGCTCCTAAAAACCGCACAAATAACGACTAGCGCGACATTTTGCTCAACCTGCGCCTTAAGATAAAAAGGCGGCCTTGGATCGTTTCAAATTGAATAAAGCACAAGTAATATCTAGAGCATCGCGTTTGACGGATAGGTACTAAAGCTATTTTATTTTATCAATATATGCTTTCACTGGGGCTTAGAATCAATGTAAATTCAGAATAATCAGTTAAGCTTTTGATATCTAAATTATAATTTTGTAAATTAATTGAAGCATTTTACGGTAAATGGAATAGTATAAAAAGTAAATGAATTATTTTGCACTTAAAAAAAATTGTATGCCGTGTAATAAAAGTATTTCACAGTACCTATGTATCAAAAATGAAATAATTTTATTGCTATCTCCTTGAAAATATCTATATTTAGCTAAATTGGCCTTTTAAAAAAGGATATTTCAAATAGGAAACTAAATGAATAGATAATATTAAGTACCTATTTTATTTTATCTTTTTCAAATGATATTTATTTTTGCAGAATTGAAGTGGTAATTAGACTTACAGTCACCTGAAAGTGGTTAAGGACACCTTTGGACACTTGGAACGTCAAGGTTACAGATGTGTTGTTACCTCTGAGGACTAAAATGGAATGACTCATAGCCTGTTATTATAATGGCTCTACATCCGTCAGCCCTGTACACAACAGTGCATGCCCTGCTGTTTGGCGGCAAAAATAGATAGAGGGTGGTAGTCATCCAGATGAATACTTATCTTTATATCAAAGAAAGCTATTTTATTAATTTCATTTCATAAAGGATACAGTAACATTTACTAAAGATTTTTGTAATAATGTAATTTCGTTTCATATAATTATGATATAGTAACATTTACGAAAGATTTTTGTAATAATGAAATTTCGTTTCGTATATGATACGGTAACATTTACCAAAGATTTTTTGTAATAATGTAATTTCATTTCATGTAGAATACAGTAACATTTATCACATTTTTGTAATTTTATCTATTACAAACAAAAGTACAGGTATTTTTTTATTTTTAGTGGTAAAGGATGTGGTTAATGCTAAGATGTTTTTAAAAGTATAGATACGTCATACTCGCTCTAAAATGGCAATACAAAAGTCAGGTAATTGCCCGACTTGCATTCAGTCGGGCACGCTCTCGCATCGCGGCTTTACCTTTGCTATAGCACGTAATTCTAAAGAAAGAAAGAATTCTTAAGAAAATCGTCTCCTTAATATTTTAAATATAAATGTTTTATTCATAATTGGTTTCATTATTTCAACACTAACCACTAGTCTGAACTTTGACACTAGCTAGTGTATTCATTTCGGCATGTCACGCGCTTGCGCCAATGAGCGTTCGGCAGCAATCAATACACAAGTAACAATGTATATTCATCTTTTTCTAATGATAGGTATGCCCAATCATTGGTCTCTTTTTGTTAGCGCAACATGTCATAATAAATAACTGTATGTAGATATAGTACTACCTGTGTCACTTTAAAATACAATAATGTTAGTGTGTAACCTGTCTATCTTTTTTAATACATCTTTGGGTTAATGGGATAGTCTCCAATGAAATAGCATCAAATATGCAATAAATCTGGTAATGTAATGCCAATCCACCAGCCAAGCATAGCAATTACTACAAATCCTTCCTGTAATGGAGGCTAACATCCGCAGAGGACTAAAAAAATATTTTTTTTTACACTCAAGTTTTATGAAGTTATTTATATAACATATCATATTGGTACATAGTTAATCTCAGTTAAATTATGAGTTACACACTATTTACTAGGTTTTATAATCTTATAATACACAAATTTCTCAACAGTTGTCAATTCTAAGTATTTACATAATATAATATAGGTCTAATATAATGTAAAATATTGGTAAGTTAAAAAACAAGCTGGTTCTTCATGAAAATTCCTAAAAATGTATCAAATTAATTATTACATAAAGGAAAGAACTATTACTGGAAGTTTTTTGTACAAAATAATTTATATATTATTCAAAAAATACAAAAAATTATTCCAATATGGTCACAAGGTAAACATATTATCATCACAATCAGTCTCCTTCTCAATAGAAGGCCGACTCTGTCCTCGCTCATCCATCAAACAGTCTAAGGATAACCTATCTATGTCATCCCATGACAATTTGTTAAATTTGTTTTGAATTATTCGGAGTAATCTGTTTGCAGTATTGGCTGCATCAGCATCACTCATTCCATGCTTTTTGAAATACTTGAGTGAAACTTCATAAAGACCTTCAGGTTTTTTAACAACAAGATTTAATTTTGTTCCATCTTTGATTGAAGGATAAGACGCAATAGTTTGATCATCAGCTAAGGGTCTCCCAAGTAATAATAATTTTTGTTCTTCAACCGAAATACCTAATTTTTTAGATACTTCTCGTTTAATCTCAGTTACTGTTGTATTTGGCAGCACCTAAAACAGTGAGTATGGTATTATTATATAATATTGGCACAGGTACATTTTTTTAAGAGCATGAACAACCGCAACACCAGGATAATTGCAGGTGCATGGCCGGCCTTTTAAAAAGGAGTAAGCTATTTTCTTGAAAATACATAAGTCGTATCGGTCCGGAAAAATCACCAGTGGTAAACTATTCAACAGAGAGGTTGTACGCAGAAGAAAACTCCTAGTGAAAAGTGCAGTGGTGGACCACCAAGCATCTAGATGGTGTGAATGGTATCGGGAGTTTGCTGCGATGACCATTCGTCAAATTTGGTGGCCCAGATTAATCCATACAATTCCTTAGAGCACTCCTTGTGGTAAATGCAAAAGAAAATTGAAAGGGTTGCAACATCTTTTCTCAGTGTCAGTTAATCGAGCCTATCGGAAAGGACTCTGTCGTCGACGATTCGAGCCGCTCTGTGCTGGATGTAGTCAAGTGGGAGGAGCTGGCTCAGGGGAGTCCCAGCCCAGAGATGGGAACAGTATTCCATGTGAGGCCGAACCTCTGATGATTTCGATACTGGCTGAGCCAACAAGGGGAGTGCCTTGATATTGAGGAGATACAAGGGCGTTTTTTTAGCGGTAAACGCGCAAACTTGTGTCTTCTGAGGATTAAACTGGACTAGATCTAGTCGCAATCAATTTAGAATGGTAACTATTATTTTTTTTATAGTATAGAGTGACAAACGAGCACACAATCCACTTGATGGTAAGTGGCTGCTGTGGCCCATAGACATCTACATTTATCCTCGTTTGCGAATCAAAATGCAGATGCGTTGTAACCCGTGAGGACTAAGATGGAATGCCAATTTTTCAGTAAAACGGGTCTCCGGTTCTCTACACTCACTATACGAAACAAAGCAGTGTTAAACTGCTATTTTACGCTGGTATTCTGTGAGTAACTATATGTAATTAATTACTTACATCTAAAGTGCATGTGTCTCCCCGTAGTTTTTTTATAATGATTTTCATTTTGAACTTATAGTATTTTTACCACAGAATGCTTTTACCCTTAGGGGAGAATTTTTCGGAGACAGGACAGGAATATTTTTCAGTATATATAAAGATACTGTGTGGGAATATAAAATATTGTTGTTGATATTTAGTTTGGTTGATACAGGTTGATAACTGAATGTCAAAGAGAAAATATATAAATTATAAATGTCATAAATTAATTGTTGTTGTTTTTATTATTCGCTCGAGTGAGCAGGTAAAGGAACTAAGCCATACAGCATATAGAATTTATAGAATATTAAAATGTAAAAGCCGGAACCAAGTCTTGTTTTTCTTCTTTCCATCTGTTCAAAATCCACAAAGGCCGAAGCCAAGTCTTATTTTCTTTAATTCTTCATATTTTCAAAAACCGTAAAGGCTAAAGCCTAGTCTTCTTTATATTATACTCTTTGTAAGTTTCAATCCATGTAGATTTGTCAATCCAATATTTTCAAAAACAGGGATATATTTCTTTTACAGTATTATGAATAAAGTTGCAAAGAGCTAAATATGTCTTAGTATTTCTAAGAACATCTTGCAGGGCACGCGGGACGCTTTCTGAGTTTTCATAAACTTGTATAAGTTTTTCAATGAGTAGCAATCTTTCTATGGCGTACGCTGGGCAGTTAAATATTATATGTTCTGCAGTCTGATCTGCTTCTGTATCGCGGAAGTTGCATGTTACTATTCTCATCCTGGAAAGATGAGCGTTCGGTCGATAGTGGCCAAATCTAAGTCTGCACATTATTGTATAAAATTTTCTGCTATGATATCTCTCGTTGCGAGTCATAGATTATAATCCTAATAGATCCTAATAGATACCGCATCATTGAATATTTGTTCTGTTACGAGTTCACCAAATTTGGCCCTATGCAAGGGTTGCGGGGGAAGTGGCAAATGCGCTGTGATTGGATATTTAAAGGTCAAACTTAGAATGTACTAAACCATAGTGATGGAACAGGGTTGGGACGATGATCGATAAATTTGGGATTTATTGATTATTGATAATGATAAATAAATATATTGATCAATTTTTATTTGATGTTTATTAAAAAAATTAAACATTGTATACATATATTTGTACATTTAATTTATAAATATATATTTGACTGATTTTAAAAATGGATAATCTTAGTATAAAATTGTCTCACAGAAGTCTTAAGATCTGTCTTCCTGGATGAGTAGAGTAATCTTACGAGTATGTCTATGTATTTTTCCATAACACTCTTAGCTAAATCAATGACATGATTGCAACTTTCGTGATCGAATTGGTGATTTTTTTATTTCATGAAAAATATCATCATTAACAAAACTGCTTATTTATTTATATTTATTATTTTTATTATTATATATATTATTTTATTATAATTATAATTTATAATTAAGCTTAATTGATTGTGTTAAAACTACAAACTTTCCTAGTGTTTTTACAGAAGGTAAAGAAGTATTAAATGTTTTGCGTACATAATTATAAGCCTAGCTGAGTAATTTATGGTGAGTGCAAAAGCTCTTAATTGTGGTGAATGTTATTTTCTAACAATTTTGCCTGATTTTGTAGATTTTGATTTTTCCAAGGAACTTAATGCGTCATTGTTTTCTACTGCTAATGAATTTTTGTTTTCTCATTCTACCAATAATGACTTCAAAGAAACTATTTGTGTTTTTAGTCTTCTGTTGGAATCACTTAACTTTTTAACTCTTTTATCTTTTTTGTTCATTACGTTGGTTAATTCGATGATTCTTCTACAAAGACGTTTTTAACTGGAGTATCTAATGCAGATAGCGTATCAGGTATAGGAGACAATTTTCCTTTTTGTTTTGTAGGCGTTTCTAAGCAATGACTCTGATTTTTAGGTGTTGGCGGATTTTTCGCGTCTTTCAGCGGTGAATCAGTAATCTAAATCAGAAATACATATTCGTTTCTTTTAAAACATTACCGATATAGTATTATTAATTAATACACCATACGGCACGTCTTCCAAATTTAGATGTACTTAATAATTATAATAAGATAATACTGAAGTTCATGTAACACTAAATACCAAGTCAAAACAATAATCACATTATAACTTTTACAAGTTTTATGATTTATAAATCCGTTCAAGATAGCTTGATTTTGACGTGTAACATTTACCTAAATATAAGAATATCATGTTTCACCCAAACCACTTAATGATATTATTGTGTAATCTACGTTAGTACTAATCTTTAAAAAAAATGCAAAAGTCCATACCAAAACTAGCAAGAATCCAACAGCTTTATACGATTTTTCATAATATTATGAAGATTGTCTTCTGTGAAGTGTTTTGAGCATAGTACACTATTTTTGGTGGGAAACCATTCGTCCCCTCGACAATTTGCGTCGATCCACATCTTTTTTCCTTTCGGGGCATTTAGGAAACCTGTAACATATAGGTACCACAATGATACGTCACTATTTTTATAAAATAATATGACTTCGAAAAAAATAATAAAACGATGACCAAACAAATATCGACTTAAAAATCACAACACTATCGATACACGTGCTGTTGTTAGACAAAGACAAATATTGTAATATACGTAACGAGTGAAAGGGACATTTCAAAAAGACATCAACGGGTGCTTAATTATTATCACTTTGCACCATTAATATACCAGTATAAGTTGATCTCCGGTGCATTTGAAATAGGTTAACGTGATAAGAATAGAATTTATTTACCAATTAAAATTTATGCCATCTTTTTGATAACTGTATGTCTTAGCTGACTTGTCACACCATTTTACTGCACAGGAAGCCATTTGTAATGTATTTTGAATACAAAACTATTTTTAAATTGTCAAGAACTCGGACGTGCCTACGGATCACAAACTTGGTCGATACTGATGTCGTGATTCTTAGCTTCGCTTCGTATGCTAGCTACAGCAAGTATGTGTTGCGCGCGTTTGTGGCCCTGTATGCGGAATCTATTAGGAGGTAATCTATGTTGCGAGTAAGCCAAGGAATACTTAATTCTGAATTAATTGATGCATACCAACGATCTTTTCCTGCCTCTAAAACAGCATTCCATTGCATTTTCCATTCTTCTTTTAACTGTTGCTTTAAAATTGAATATAAATCTCTATGTGGTATTGCAACACCGGTTATCCTGTCAATATCAGCTGTAACTATACTTTTAGCCTCTTTGCTTTTAGCTAAATGGTCTGCGCTTTCATTCCCTTGAACACCAATATGTGACGGAGTCCATAAAAATTTTACTTCCAAATTATTTTCTTTCAATTTCCACCACAAACTTTTGATTTCATATATGATGAAAGACGTTTTAACATCTAAAGTTCTTGCCTTCAGTGCCTTCAAGACACTCATACTATCAGAAATCAGTAACCATTAATTAGATATATGTGGGTGTTCTTCTATAAATTTAAGAGCGATTAAGACAACATAACATTCTGCAGTGTATATGCTTGCTGATGCAGGAATGGAAAGGCCACGTCCAGTTTTCAGATAAGGTATGTAAAATGCACAGGCTACTTTATTTTCAACTTTTGAACCATCTGTGTAAATTTGTCGATATTCATCATATGTAGTCGTTATTCATCATCTCCTGTTTCAGGTTCCCACTGTCGCCTCTTACAACACCTAAGGGTCGCTACAGGGTACTGGATTTTCTACCACCATTCCCAATAAAATAAGATTTTTATTTATTATTTTCGATATATCAAGAGATTTTACAACATTTTTTTTTAATTTTGAACATTGCTCAAATGGCTGGCATATAGGCAAAAAAGTTTCGGTAGTAATAAATATTGTAGGTATACTTAAACTTACGTGGTGTGGCCTATCGGTGGCAGCTAGTCAGAGGTAAGAACGCACCGGCGCCATCTGTGGGTGGATGGCGGGATGCACTAGTCCATGGGACAAGCCCGGCAGCTCTCCACCGTACGCCAGCGGGTGATGCCACAACTCAGCGCCACCGCCCAGGAAGAACGGGCTCGCTAAGTATATTCAATTGTTATTAGAGTATTAATGTATAAGTTCATAAACCTCTTCTTTTCTTTTCAATTTTTCATCAATATTTATGTGTATATCACTAAATTTACTTTCATAATTCCCCTTATAACAAGGCCAAGTATGTGTGCTTTTGTGAATATTATATTGTTCATCATATCGTATCACGTCATGAAAGTCATGGAGTAAATTTTTTTTTAATTATTTTTTATTTCTTTTAAGAGATTGCAAATTGATGTTAACATTTCGATTAGAAGACTGATTGGATGGTGTGGATTCATGCACGGCTTGTTTAACTAGTTCTACTAAATCTGTATAACATTGTAAAGGATTACTATAATCAAAACAATAATTTTTAATTAAATTATCTATTAAATTTGGATATTTTGACCAATCTACCAATTTTAAGTTTATGTTGTTTGATACAGCTGTTTCTTGAAAATTTTGATTATTGACCGTAATTTTTGTCTTTACAGGAAAATGATAGCTGCCTAGAGAATCATCATCACATACTTGCCACTCACAAGACAGAGCCAGTGAAGATGAAACAAATGTCAAGTCTAATGCATTCTGCCTCCATCTATGAGATCCTACTGTAGTCATCTCACCATCATTCAAGATTACAAGATTGTTGTCATCTATACTTGCAAGAACATCCCTACCTCGTGAATCCAATTCAGTACATCCCCATAACATGTGATGGGCGTTGAAATCACCAGCCATAAAGACTGGCTGTGGCAAACTTTGGATTAAATTATCTAATTTGGATTTATTATAATTAATTGGTGAATTAGGGGGACAGTAAACACTAACTAAAGTTAACAATTTATCATTATATTGTATTTGTACAGCTATATTTTGTAATGAGTCATCAGAGAATCTATTGATAACACGAAATCCAATTTTGTTATGTAGAAGTATTGCTACTCCATTATGATCATTACCTGAATCTAATCGTATAATATTATAATCTTTTACTCTAAAATTGTGC